TAATTTTAATCGCTGCAAACTTGGCAGATTCATCACACGAAAATAAACAATGTAGAACAGCACGTTTATTCTGATTATCTATATTCATCTTTTATAGGTACTAAAATGCGTTCGATATTTACGAAAGTTGGTGATGAATTGAATAAAATGTTAGTCAAACGATGATGAGTTCCAACAGGTTCAAAATTGTATTGTTTTAGTAAATTCGCCATAGTGAATTCTACGCATACTCTTAATGCGCACGAACATATGGACTGACCCAATAATTTGGAGTAAGAGTGAACTTCCAACCCGAAAGAATTCGCGGTATTAAGATTCAGATATTTTCCCTTTCTGTAGTCATTTGAAGCCGGGATTTTGATATAAACATCAGGGGTTTTAATTGAAATACAGTTGTTCTAGTGTTTTTTTATAGTACCTGCCAAATGAAACGACGCAGTGCTGGTTTCAAATGCAAAGCCATTCAGTTTGCGAAAGAAAATGGAAATCGTGCTACGGCGAGGAAGTTTGGTGTTGGTAAAAGATGGAACGGATGATTATTATTTATTTATTGATAATAGTAATATTGATGGTGAAGACAAAACAGAAATCGATGGTGTGCCTGAAGATATACCGGAAAACGAATATGACGAGCTTCTCATGTTATCCGATAATGAAAAGTCCGATAATGAATAGCATAAAGTACACGTAAAAATGTAGCTTGCTGGTTTTTTCCATATTTTTAATCTACTGTTTTTAAATGCGGCGTATAAATCGCAGCCGCAAATTTCAATCAAACATTTGGTTTCCATTCACGCATTATACGCCGGAATATACAATTTATCCTTATTCATGAACTGTAAAAACTGACTAGAGAAAAATATAACTACTGGGAAAAGATATATACTTTCATTTATTGTCAAGTTTCAGCTTACAGGCATGGTACTTATTCCTTCCACATATAAAAGCAACTATCCCCAGCTTATTGCAGAAAAGTTATATCCATTACAAAGATTTATGTATCATCAAGCCGACCAGCTGGCACGGTAGTAAGAGAAGTTGCTTGGGCCTGGGTTCAGATCTAGGGAGCAGGAACCGACGTTTGTAAATGAGTCATTTCGACATGGGAATACGGCATGAGAATCAGGACTGAAATTAAAGTAAAATAATAAAAATAAAATTCTTCTATAATTAATTTCTACCCACTTCGAAATGAGATCGTCAATTGCTTAACCCTTTGACTACCAAAGGGACTTATATGTCCCACTAAAAGTTTAAAAATTATTCCTGAATGTTTTGAATCATCTTCCAATAGCTGGAAAATCAAAACTCCGCTGTGTTCGTTGTACACAAATGAACACAGAGAAAAGAGCAAGTATGAGTTGCCCAATGTGTAATGTTGGGTTACGCAAAGAATGCTTGTACCATACGGTTCAAAATCTATTTCATGTAATAAAATTTTCCAGAATAATAGGTGTGCTTATAGCAAGTCTATCGCTAAGTGTGGGACATGTGTATCCCACCATTAACTACGGCTGTGACGTATGTGTCCCAACCTTTGGCTTGAGAACTATTTGTGAAAAAAATCCCAAATGCTAAATTTTCCTTATTTATGACATATTTTTTTTCACTTGGATAGGAAGCGAGAAGTTTTAAGGAATTTATTTTATTCGAATTTTATTCATTGCATTCCGGAGCCATCGTTCAGCTTAAAATTTCAGGGCTAGATCTTCCTTAATTTGATGAATTGTTGATTTTGATTTCCGAAGACACTTGACGGATAGCAATGAAACAATTCATCGCGATCTTCCATTTAAATAATTTTATGAGTTTGCTTCCTTTTCGAAATTTATTTTCTTTTCAGAATTTTGATTAACATTATACATACACTATTTTGCTTTAATCGCCGATAAGACTGCTTTTAATTTTGATTAATTTTGTAATAGTCGAACACATAATTTTCTTCTTCTTCTGGCGTCACAATTACAAAATCATATTGTTTCATATTAAACAGTTTTCATACAATAAGATGCCATTTTTCGGATACTATTGTTCATGAATACTGAAGTAATCTGTGTGAAAATGCTGCTACATTTGTCTTGTATATAGAGTTTGTTTCTCGTCTTCCGATATCAACATTGCTAAGGAACAAAAAGGAACAACAGAAGATTCAGCGAATGGTAGTCAATAAAAAGAGATAATGTTTTAATTCCATTTTAAATTTAGAAAGGCACTTGCCGCTTTGAACGTTATAAAATTTTACTTAGCTAAGAACAATTTGAATAAGAGTACAAAAAAAATGAAACAGTACCTTTTTTTTCTGATGCACATAAAATTACATCTAGCAAATTGAGAGAACAAGAATAACAACAGACAAAAAAAAAAAAAAAAAAAGTGGGGGGGGGGAAAGGAAGAAAGAAAGAGGGAAATGGAGGGAGAAAATAATTTACGATTAAAATAAGGAATTTTTCTTAAATTTAGAGATTTTTATACAAAATATTGAGTACGTTTTGCATTTATGTTAAACATACAACATTTTTTGTTACTGTTATGGATTAGCTTATACTGTGGATTGATTACTTTTAAAAATTCAGAGACTAAAATTTAATACAATTTTGAAGTAGATAGAATGTGTTCTAGTCATAATACTAGAGACAGAATGTCTTTCTAGAGAGTAAATAATTTCTTTCATTTTTTTTAATTAAATTTTACACAAAAATAATACAAATATGTATTTGAATGTCCCGACTTGTATTTCATTTATACGTTTTTTACATTTATATTTTTATTTGATTCTGAAAGCAAGTAAATTCCACATTAGAAGTACGGAAGCAGTCGTTTTGACCACAGACAGTCGTTCGATTGAAGGCAAGCCAGTCACAAGCTACCAGAGTTTAAACATAACGCCCAATCTCGTCTGCAATTTGTGAGTTGTGTAAATTGCAGTAACGCCCAGAGACGGCTGCAAGTTTTGGGCAACTGGGGGCAAAGTGTCATCTGGGCATTGGACGTTTAACTTCTGGCAACACAGTTTCAGGACACTGGATCCGTATCGAGACGACCTAGTCAGTGTCGACCGAGATTCACAAGAGTGAAAATTTTTATTTGACACTTTCAGCGCGATGACACAGGACTGCTACAGCTTCTCAGCTGTCACAGTCGTTGTTGTTTATGCCTCACTTGTTTGAAGTAGTCAGACAAGCCCACGAAATTTTACTTGGCAACGCATGCTAGATTAGGCCAGCCGTTGGCAACAACCTTGAGCACCATTCAGTTGACAGTGCAATTTAGCTCAGTTCCGCCCCCCGATTTAGATGGAGAGCACTCAAGGGGGACGGGTCTGAAGGTCTCCCACCCTCCCCCCTCTCCCATCCACCCCGTTGGTGCCGCACACCGTTGGGGTTTTCTTGAGCCCACAGATGCTGATTGTAGTGATTGAAAACCCCATCCCTATTGAACATGGCTTCATCCGTGAACAACACATAAGCTGGGAAGTTAACGTCACGGGCACTGTCTTGCAGAAACCACTGTGTGAAACGCACCCTTTCAGGATGGTCATCCGGGAGCAGTAACTGAACCCTTTGGACACGAAAGGTGTGGAAACACTCGACGTTCAAGGAATGCTGGAGACTAGAACGAGAAATTCTTATTTGAGAGACAATGGCAGGTATACTGGTTCTTGGATTACTCTCCACCGTATCCAACACACTTTCTTCCCTAACGACCGAACCTGTCGATCATGGTCTGCCCTCTCTTAATGACTCGTAGTCGCACAAATGTTGATACAGACAAATTGTTATGTGGGTGATGTTCAATTGAACAATCTCGATAAATGCGTGCAACGGCTCGTCCATTACCTTCAGCTATACCGTACACTAAGTGCATGTCTGCAAGCTTCATGTTTGTATAGCGTGCCACGCTCTTCTTGTGGTGCCTACAGCTCGAATGAGGCAATCCTCACTTTCCACTAGCACTCCTCTGTACAGCACCCCCTGACGGCGTAGAGTGACGTTTCTGGGCAAGGGTTCCTGTGCAATTCTTAATTCTTATGATGTATCCTACCTTCCCCATAAGTTTATCGCGACATTTATGAAACACTCTACAGAGAGATCTTCATTTAACATAACTGCGATGATGCTCATTGAAATATAGAAACATAGGAGGACAATTTTAAAAAATTATGATCATTTCTTTCATAACATGGCTTATAAGTAAGCTTAACATGACTTTCTATTTACTTCTTATTTACAAACGTCTCTAAGTAACTGTTAAAAATCTGATATACCAGGATTATTACACCAGTGTTTCTCAACCTTTCAAACCAGCTTTTAGTATTCATGACCCAATTTTCAATCATAATTTTCATCGCGCCCCCCTTCCCACCGCATACAATAAAATGTATACAATAATAATATATTTTAAGTATTTTGGCGCTAAACCTACACTACAACCTTAATTTTAAACTTTACAAATTACCAAGAATACGGAAATTTATTGACATTTGCAACACCGATCCTCAGCATTGAAAAAACAAGAATCCTATGCTTTTTTATTGCTCTTGCGTCCCGCCATGTCGGGCATTCTCACGGTTTCGCGAGAAGTTTCGATTTCTCTGATCAGCTTAAAAGTTAAGTTAGGAGCGTGCACAGATGTGAACAAATGTTTTCTCATAGGGAGAAGGAGAAAGTTCTATGACGCCAATTTCAATTCCAGACAATCTCATTCGAGTCGATCCTTCTATCGCTTTTGAATCTATTCTGAATGTGTATGTTACATATATTTTCGTGTAATTGCAATTCACCGTATTAAATATTCACGGCAGCAGACTTAGCAGAATCATAGATAAATTTTTAAGCGGGCGTAAGCGAGCATTAGACGATAGACAAGCATCAACAAGTACACAGACGAGCGTGGTTCCGAAAATAAAATCAAGAAAATGTTCTCAAGAATACTTAAATTTTGGGTTCACTAGTACTGAAGTAAATGAAGAAGAAAGGCCACTGTGTATCATTTGCTTAAAAATGTTGGCGGCAGACAGCATGAAACCTAATAAACTTAAGCGACATTTGGAACGCTTCATAGTGAGTACGTAAAAAAACCCAGAGAATTCTTCGAATTAAAATTAAAATCATATGAAAAGCAAAAATCATTGAGTAAAAAAACTTTGTCTGTGAATGAAAAAGCTTCAATTGCCTCTTACAAAGTTTCATATAAAATAGCCAGATGTAAAAGGCCTCACACCATTGGTGAAGAGCTTATTTTGCCAGCCGCAATTGAGATTGTAGAAATTAGCTTTGGAGATAATTTTGCAAAACAATTGCAGTCTATACCTCTTTCAAATGATACTGTTGCCCGTCGAATTGATGATACAGCTGAAGATGTAGAGTGTCAGCTTTTGTCGAAGTTACGTGACAAATTGTTTTCAATACAACTCGATGAGGCAACAGATAGTAATAAAAATGCTCATTTCATTGCCTATGTTAGATTTTGTGATGATTTGTCAGTAGCAGAACAACATGCAAAAGTTGTTTTTGTAACCAATGAAAACCATTTAGCAATGCTAGCAAAGAATTTTAAAATGTACTTTCTTGATGACGACGAACTGATATCAAGTTACAAGTGGGTGAGGGATACATTTCAAAATACTTCCGAAGGACTCTCAATTGAAGAGGAAGAAACCTTCATAGACTTCACGGCAAGCGGCGAAACCAAAAGACAATTTAGTAATAAATCACTCTTTGAATTTTGGGCAGGAGTGAATGATGAGTTTTTTGCACTAAAAACAAAGGCATTTCGCATTCTACTACCATTTTCAACATCTTACCTTTGTGAAACTGGATTTTCTGCGGTGGCTTCTTTGAAGAAAAAATATAGATCTCGGCTAAATATCGAAAACGAACTGAGAGTGTCTATTTCTAATATTAAACCCTCCTTCGAAAAACTTTGCTCTGCAAGACAGGCCCAAGAAAGTCACTAATAATTATTAAATTTGTTTTTAATTTAGTAAGTTGTTTTAATTTAATAAGTTAATTATTAAATATGTCGAAATGTATTTTGTTTTGTATGTGTCTGTGTGTTCTTTCCTTTCAGCCATTTAATCAATTTTTTTAAATAACATTTTCTCTTGGATATGCTCGCGCCCCCATAGGGGGGCGCGCCCCACAGGTTGAGAATCACTGCTCTAACCTATTTTCAAGATTTCTAACTTCGAGAAAAAGGAGAAACAACGAGTATTTTATAAATCAAAATATAATATCATCTTGGCGATATAATCCTCTAGCATAGAGTTAGAAATAGGATATCGACTGAGAGAGTTTTGCCACTTGTATCGCCACTTTAACTGCGACCCATGTTAAGAGAGAAAAAAAAAATATCGTTGCTGTTAAAAAAACATTGTTATCGAATATAGATGAGTAATTTCAACTTTCACATTTGGGAGTGAGTAGTAGTTAAATTATGATAAAATAATAAGTGCTTGTTTCCTAAATTATAATCTTTTGTTTTATAATATGCGTTTAAAGGTCTCTTTCCCTTCATTTACTGTCGTAATGCGTATCATCATCATTGCCAAGAGGGAATTAGGGGAATTTTAAGAAATTAGAGGACTCTAACGTATTCCGAGTTAGTTGTTACCGCGGTTACGTGGTAAGCTATAAAGTAACAACACATAATATTGATGTGCTTATTATAAAGTAATAGACTATAAAACAATGAATCTGAAAATAATCAACAGTAAGCTTGTTAATAACAAATATATTTATATTCATTGCCAGGTACGCAATTTGAAAGAAATATTTCATTTAGATTATAACTTGTATTTCCTCGCGTACCTTAGTCACATTCTACTGATAGTATACTTCTTTTAAACATCTATATTTAGGGGCAATGGTCAGTGAATAGATTTGTGAAAAAAAAGAATAGAGATAATCAAAATTTTCCTTTGCCAAACAACAAAATTACTATTTAGCTATCAAGCTTCTTTCGGAAGGAATATCCAATTTCTCTCTTCTCTATTTTCTTTATTTAAACATTTATATAACGTTTTTTATGATCGTAGTAAATATAAATAGCCACTTAAAAGAAATGCTTTTTACTTTGCCAATAGTAAACGTCAATGATACTGTTACAGATAATTCATAGCATGTTTGAAAAAGCAATTTCTTCCAGAGAATTTCGTTACTTAAAATAAACAAAAGCATGAAACAAGATCAACGTAATTCAAATAGCAGAGAAAAGAAATTTTATTGGATCATCTGCGCAAAACGATGGAATAAAACATAACGTACGCTTTAAATGACGACGCCTAGATTTAAACTAAACATTGTGAAATCCACTATTGATTTTGGTTTATTTCGTTTCTAGGAGGAATCATAATATTCCGCTTTTATAATTTCTTTTACCATACAACAAATTCATTATTTTTAATAATATATCTTTATTTAGTACAGCTAATTATATATGTATTTTTGTTTAATTTAATGCCCAATAAAATCTTAAATGAATGAAATATTTTATAAAGAACATTATTATTACTATTATTATCATTATAAGGGCACAGTGCCGATCCTCCTAGCCGGCCTTATAATAAAAAAAAATGGGACTGCCCCCCCCCAAAAAAAAATACAAGGAAAAATATATAAGTTCAAACTCTGAATCTCAGTGCCGAATTCCAATTCTATCAATGTTCGTATTTATAATCTCCATTATTGTCCGGGCAAATTGTTTTAAAAATCTGAATAGTTCCTTTTAAAATCTTCCTTATTTTTTAAAATTTTTTATTTCTCTTTTACATTCATCGACGAAGTGCATGGCGTACCCAAACTTATCACATATTAAACATTTATCATCATTCTGTAGACAGAACCAATTAAAATATATTTATAAAGAATTTATGAAGAGTATTTCATTTCCAAGCTTACGGCCCTCTTTACCGTCCTCAATTTTTAGCATCGTCTCTCTCGTCCTCGGTTGACCTCTTAAGTGGTACGCTTCTCAGTAAGGGGATACGAGATCTTAGGGCGAAAATCTAAAATATGAATCTTAATCATTGTTACAAAAATCAAAATATATAGAGAGTTTCTCAAAAGTCCATATGCAAACTTTGACGGGAGGTAAAGAACAGTGACATGAATCCTATACAATACATGTAAGAAAATATGACAGCACACGCCATTCGCAAGAGAAAAGCAGAGAAACAAGGACGCAGCAAGAATACAGTACAAAATACAGTGTAAAGCACTTTATTAGGCGAAATGTAATAATTCAATAACTGGTAGACACTAAAAAGGTTTGAAAACAGAAGTTCAAGATTTCGACCACTCGTACTGATGCATGCCTGACACCGATGAGGCATGAGTTGTCGGATATTTTCAAAGAGTCATGAAGTGTCGTGGATAAGAACATCAACGACGGTGATTAGTATTATGAGGTTCATATCAAAAGCACCGAGCTTGTCGTACGGTTTGACCTTAAAGCTAAAGAAATTGATGCTAGGTAAATCAAGTAATCTGCGACGGATCCACCATGTCGACTTGGAGCTCTGATTTACAGCGCTACTTAACCGTTTCCGGCTCGGATTTTCTATGTGAATATGGTTAAGATCGATATTCCCTCAAAGTTTGTACGTACCTTAGACATCCTGTATATGACATGGATTGTGTGAACATACGACATTAGCATACACTAGAACTGATATTTAATTTTCTTTACACCGGGACACGTATCGAATAACCGTGTTAATATTATGAGAGACAATAAAATGTAAAATCATCCAGGTTATATCTTTGTAAAACTGGTAAATTATCAGTTTTTTCGACACAACTTATTCACTTGCTTTGAAATTGGGAACAAATACTCTCTTGGATATCTTTCTCGTACTTACATTTTTAAAGTTACTTAATCGAAAGTTATACATTATAAATTACATTCATTTTGTGTGCAGTTCCCGTTAATTTTTTGTCTATTTATCCGTTCGATTATTGATAAATTTGCAGCTCGGTCCAGATTGAATCTCTCAAAAGGAATTTTCTCAAATTGGTAAATTTTTTATTTTTAATTCGAGAGCTGTTAGGAGCCGATAATAAACGAGATTAAAAATTGCTTTCGCTACTTTTACATTTATCTGTAAATAAACATCAGCACTGTGAAAAAGCATGTTTTCCATTGAGGATAAATATGTAGCCTTTTATTTCTTGTTCGTTTGTTTGAGGCTATTTAAATATGCGGACAGCAATATAAATTATGGGATATAAATATGATATATGGGGTATAAATTATAATATAATACGATATATGGGCTATAAATTTCATAGACACCTATAATAATGAATTTCTAACAATTTCTTAACACTATGAAAGCAACATCGTCTAAAAGAGCCTTTCAAGCAAAATTTTTGCCTTTGCTGTAATGAAAATGCTCCCCTTTCGAGTCAAATTTCTTAGGGAGTAGAAATGACCGGTTAAGTGTCAGTGTATACGCAACAATAGATCTTTGAGACGAAGTAATGTGTGTAGTCTGGTTTTCATATGAGTGCATACACAAGCCATTGCGTTCTCAAAACTGAAGAACTGGGAATGTAAACTTTATTGTAAAGTTCCATTTTTTTATTTGGTTGTTTTTTAAAATCTCTGAGGTAGAGAAAAAATTTAATTAGTGCAATCAAAAATTTGCCCTTTAACTTGGTTTGACCAACTGGACGACAGATGGAATACGAAATGTTTGTTGAAAAAAGCTTTGGGCCCTTATAATATGACAAACAGCCTTTGTTATTTCTTTTTTTTTTTTTTTTTTTTTTTTTTTTTTTTTAAGATTGTATTTCGAAAAAAAATGAGGAGAAACTTAGAATTCCATTAACCAGAAGGCTAATTTTAAAGCAAAATATGTTCCTACTCCTCAGCTTGGAAAAATGTGTGTAAATAAAATACGGGCTTAAATTAGTAACGTACAAATGATTTTATTTTAATATTATTTTCATTTGAAGTGTTTCAGATAGTTGGCAGTTTATCTATTACTGTGAAAACGTATCATAGAGAAATAAACAGGGTGAATCTGAAGAAGTGAGCAAAACTTTAGCTGTTGATAGAAGTAAGCCATACACGCAATATTCAACATAGAAATGTATGATCGGAACGCAAGCAGTGTGAAGTTAAAGGGTAGTTTTCCACTATCATATTTAAATAATTAACACAAGAATGAGAGGAGATACTTCAGAAAACATTTTATTAAACATTTGCGGCACAGTGTGTCCGGTCTGGCCACACCTAAAAATTTTCTTCTGTACGCACAGAAAAATTGAATGAAAAAGGATTTATAAGTTACTATAGGTTATACTCTGAACTTTCTTTATTTATAGTAGATGGCAGTTCAACAAAAACCAGGCCATATATTTCAGCCATGTTTAGTTTTTAAGACCCTCATTTTTCAAAAAAATATTCCAGATTTTTTAGGGTATAAAAGGAATTGTTTGAAAAGAAATTTCTATGTTATCTTTTTGGCTGTATACTAATCTCATTCTATATTAGTTTTAAATTTGTACCTTGAAATCTTGCCTAAAATCAAACGGCGAACCCTAGGTGTGCCCAGATCGGGCTCACCGATAATCTAGGACAACTCAGATTCTGAATTTTTTGTTTCTCCGCATCTCATCGGCTAGTTCAATGACAACAATGCTCGTTTCAGCACTCTTTGCGAAGCTCTATTCAATCAGTGTGCCCACAGAATTAAAACGATAAGTGCTATCTTCACAAAATTTTACTTGTGTACTCCTCTAGGCTTAATTAGACTGCCTACCTTTTTTTTTTTTTTATCAAAATTCCATCTTTAAAAGGTAGCATGCCGGAAAGGGTTAATAAAGCATGCTCATAAATTTGCTCAGGAGACCTTCCGTCAGCTGTAATGTAGGCTTCACGCTTGTGGGATAGGGATTGATGCACATTTACGAAGACACCAGGTATTTCCCGAATATCGCCAGCAACAAT